GCACTGCTTTTTATGTTGTTTCTTTTTAGATTAGGAACATTTAATCTGACCCAAACAGATTAATGCATATTAAAAGGAAACTGCCTCCTAGTCACATGTTTGTTTGAAAGGCATCTGTTTTCATCTCTATGCTACCCTGATTTTTAGATTGCCATATCTTTTTGTAAAGAAAAAATGAATTAATATGTACAAAATGCCTAGTAAAAATACCCTGGAACATGCTAAGTGCTTAATATGTATAAACTAAAGCAATTATTATGATGAAGTCTTTCACCATATGTAGTGTTACTAGAGAATATAAGTTCCTTTAAACAGAATAGATGCTGAATTATTTCATCACATTTCAAGTTAAGAAGTATAGCCAATAACTAAAAGCACTAGATAATGGCAACTTTATTTTTAAACTATTGTTCAGGAAATGGAAATTCCAATGTAAGGTGTGCAGAATTTTGTGTAGAAATGAAGAGTGTGGCACTTATTGTTTTTTAAACATTCTTTGACATGTTTTTATACAGATTTCCTGTTATCTGAAACTATCTGTCCTTCATCTATTTAATAACCACTTACTGAGTATTTACCATAAGCCAGACGCAGTGCTAGACTTGAATACCAAACTCTGTAAAACAGTTCTTTCCTCAGAGAAATCACAATCTACTAGGGCACAAAGGTATTTAGAAACAGGAATATTGGGAAACATTGTGCTATGTCTTGTTTGTTTGTTTTGGGGTACAGTGGCTTAAACAACAATTTATTTCTTACAATTCTGTAGGCTAAGAAGTCCGAAATCAAGATTCTGGCAGATCAGTGTCTGTTGAGGGCTCACTTCTGGGTTGGTGGTTGACTGTCTCCTCACTGTGTTTTATGATATATATTTATTAATGAAGTAGTGGTGTGTGAAGTTGGTACCTGCTCTGGTTCTGGAGATGGGGTGCACGTCCAAGGTCTGCACCCGTCAACACTACCACAGTGCCCATTGCCATTAAGAGTAAGTGTGGGACCCAGGAACAATCCATGAGACACAGGAGACTTTGGTTGTGATATCTGGAGAAGAGACTGTTGCTCTTTCCTACTGAATCAAAAAATAGGCACGGTATAGGATGTGGAGTTCTGCCACTGTCTTATTACTATGGGAAACATGAGACTGAAGCCAAAGTAATGAACGGCTTTGCTAAGACACACCAAGCCTGGTCCTGATGACATGTAAAGCTTGTAGTCTCATGCCTGGCTAAAGCTTATGACCTTCAGTTCGTTATCTTAGGCCAACTTAAGTTAGTTTTCTATCACATACAATTGAAAGAATTTGAACTTAATTTGGGTTGGGGGAAGAAAAATAAAATCAGTAATCCTTAAACTGCAGGGGTAGATTGGAATGTAACTTTTGGGTTATTCTCTATCTTTACCACGGACTATAAGCTCCTAAAGGGCAAGGACCATGTCTATGTTGGTTATTTCTGCATATCTAGGGCCTAGTCCAGTGTCTGGCATACCAGATATTAAATATTTCTTGACTGAAGTGAAGAATAATAATAAGAGACATGAAAAATCAAAATAAAGGCTTCAAAATAGTTTTTTACATTGTGACCCATTGAACTGAGATACAGTGATAGATGATTAATTAACTGTATAAAGACTGTAGCTACAAAGGCAATAGAAAGAGTTTGTTAGAAAGATAAGATGCTGTCATTTAGAGGGCACACGTGCCAAGAGCAGGTTTGACCAATATTAGAAAAAATCCCTACCCTTCATCCTTTTCTCGAACACACACAGAGCCAATGATAATTTACAACAAGAAAAAAAGATTATACCTCTTCAAAAAGATGATAAGATAAATGAACAAGATAACAAAAATACAAAATAAGGATAGGAAGGTTTTTAAAACAAGGTACGTGTAGTGTTTATTTCAAAGAATTGTAGAAAAGTGAAAAAGAGACTAGTTTAGGAAAAGATCTATTTGTCAAGTGTTATGAGCCCACAATTTGGGTGTCACATGTTCTTACGTTGAAACCTTAAACCCTCGTACTTCAGAATGTGACTGTATTAGCAGATAGGGCCTTTAAAGAGGTAATTAAGTTAAATGATGCTGTTAGGGTGAGCTCCAGTTCAGTCTGACTGGTTTCCGTGTAAGAAGATATTAGGACCCATGGAGAGACAGTAGGGTCATGCTTGTACAGAGAAAGCATCATGTGAGGACACAGCAAGAATGTAGCCAGCTATAAGCCAGGGCGAGAGGTCTCAGAAGAAACTGAACCTACTGACATCTTGATCTAGGACTTCCAGACTCCGGAACTTAGAAAATAAATTCCCTTTGATTAAGCCACCCACTCTGTGGGATTTTGTTAGGGCAGACAAGTGAACTAATGTAACGAGTTTTGGAGAAAGTATAAATTGATGAAAGAACCAAAGAAAAAGATACTTTTATTTCATTAAAATATTTTATTTTACTATAGAGTAGGTAACACATGCACACATTACAAAACTCAGATGTTATATAAAGGATATATAGTGAAAGAAAAATCTCCAAACTCATCGGGGGCCAGGTCACCTGGTTAGTTCCCATTCCCAATACAGTCTATACCAGTTCCTTCAGCATTGTCCATATATGACTAAAAGTATATATATATATATATATAAACACATGTATGTATATATGTTATTTTACACTATGTACCATTGAGGAAATTTTAACTTCTGTCCAAGTTAGTCTTTTGACCAGTTTGTTTTTAAATTTTTAATTTGTTGGGTTTGGCTTTTTTATTTAGTAATTATTTTGAATATGTACACATACATTTTTCCATCTTTACCCTTTTAATAATGTACATTGTAGATCATCTCTCATCAGTGTATTTATAGCTATCACATTTTTTCACTGCTCTAGAGATGTCCCATGATGTTTAAACTATCCTTCTAGAATTGAACATTTTTAGGTTGTTAACAGACTTTTATTTTTATGAAGAACATAGCAATGGATAGCCTGAACATTTTGGTTATATTTGAAGATATCTGTATGATTCATTTCTAGAAGCAAAATTGCTGGATGAAAAGATGATTACTTAAAATTTTTAAATGATATTGCTTTATTGCTCTCTGTGAGGCTAAATCAATTTATATGCCCACAAGTTTTCTGTGTTACCAAACTCTAATATTGAATTATCCATTTTTTTTTGGGTGTTGTCAATCGAAAATAAAAGAAATGGTACCTAAACTATAGCTTTAACTGGCCTTTATCTTTTTATGAGAATAAAGAACATCTTTTCTAACATTTTAGGCCCACTTGTCCTTCTCTTTATGTGAGCCGTATGTTCATATTTTTTGCTTATCAGGTTGTTGGTTTTGCTTTTTGATTTGTAGGTCATTACATATTATTTTAAATTTCAAGTCATTATTAGAAAATGTCTAGTATAGCAGAAGATTGTACAAACTTTCTCTTTCAAAATACATGTTCAACTTCTCTCTCTTTTTTGTCAGTTTTAAAGTAGGTAATTGTGGTTTTCTGAAAACATATTTGACTTACATCTCATTGGTTTGTTTGTTTTAGCATTGGTGTCTCCTGGGACACTTGCGGCCTGACAGAAGCAGCTTGGGATGGGGCCCGCACTGGCCAGGGGTAAGTGAAATGAAAGAAATGATTCCCGTTGGCAGGTCTATTGGGAAATCATTTAGGAGTCTATTTAAAATTTTTTGTTTGTTTTTAGGGACTTACTGATGTTACTGATTATTTTTACTTTTTTTTTTTTTGGTGTGAGAATTGACCAAGAGTTGGTACCCTGGCATTAAAACAAGTATATAACAAATTGAGGAACACTCAAGTTTATACATAAAGTAGTTTTGATTTTAAGAAATTAATAAATGATGGTAAAATGAAAACCTGAATTAATCATTCAAAACAACTTTAAAAAATTGAAGTTGGTGGCATTAAATTCTTTTATGCATTAAAATACAGACAATATGCTGCTTTAACATCATTGTTTTTAAGTCACTGGTAAAGCAGTTATGGTTTTTACATTATTATCTGTTGCAGTACTACAATTTGAGAATTCTTTTTCTGCTTGGATCTAGTATGGAGCAGTGAAAAATAATGGGTGCTGGAGTTAGACTCACTTGGGTCCAAGTTCTGTTTCCACTTTCTAGCTTGTGTGACTTTGGGAAAGTTATTTAACTTTTCTAAACACCTCATTCACAAGTGGTACTTACATTAGGGGCTTGTGCAAATAAAATGAAATAATACATATAAGGCATTAGCCAAGGGCCTGGCACTTAATATGCATTTAATTTTAAAACTGTATTTTAGCACATATTTAATTTAATTTTTGACTACATTTAGTTTTACTCTAGTATAAAAGATTTTCATGGTGAAAATATCAATATAAATAGAAAGCAGTTTAATTTGGTGGCTTCCTCAGTGGATTACTTTGAAAGTAATCCTTCTCATCTTTAATCTTTTCACTGTGCCTAAAATTATACCATTAGAAATTTATTCTATTCAATCTCTCTGAACTTGAAGATTTTTACTGTCTTTAAGGTTTTCACATAAAAGTGAAATATTCCCCAAAAAGAGATGAGGAGGATAATTTCAGGGGCATAATGAGAGCCTGACTTTGTATGTGAGCCTGTGAGTGGCAAACAAGAGGAACAAGGGGGACAGAGAAAATTGAAAGAGATAAATTTCAGCTTTTTTACCTTGGGCCTGCTGTAAAAAAAGAAAAAAAAGTTCTTTTTAGCAGGCCAAAAGAAACAAAAACAAAGAAAATTTCACATTTTTTTTTTTAACCACTAGACCACAGAGAAAACCTGTACACAATTATTCACAGAAGCTTTATTTGTGAAAACCCCAAACACAAAACAACCAAAATATACCTCAGTAGGTGAATGGTTAAACAGACAGTGGAACATCCATACATGGAATACTACTCAGCAATAAAAAGAACAAACTATCGGCATATGCAACAACTTGGATAGATCTTGAGGACATTGTGCTAAGTAAAAAAAGGCAGCTTCTAAAGTTCACATACTGCATGGTTTTATTGGACCTATTAATATAACATTCTTGAAAGGAAGTAAGTACATGAAAGACAGATTTAGTGATTGCCTAGATTCAGGGATGGCACAGAGAGGGAAGTGGATGTGACTATAATGGGTAGGGGTAGCATGAGGGTTCATCTTTGTGGTGATAGTTATGTAGCTTGTTTGCAGTGATGTTACATGAAAGTACATATGATAAAAGACATATATATATATGTGTATATATATATATATACATATATATATACATACACACACACACATCATACCAATGTCAAATTCCTGGTTTCCATATTGTACTATAATCATGTAAGATAAAACCATTGGGAGAAACTGGATGAAGGGTATACAAGACCACTTTGTCCTGTCTTTGCAATTTTCTGTGATGTATCAATAATTTCAAAGTGTAGTTAGAATAAAAAAACATTTAAAAAATCACTAGAGGGCTTTAATTGTTAGTGCCCTCAATTCTTATTGAGGATTCTGGATGGAGATGGTTGCTTTTGTACCTTTATTTTACTGGCATACTGGTGAAAAGTGAAAGTGTGGGAGAATAAGCCTTGCCATGAAAATTAGTGAGTCAAATGAAACGTCAGAGACCTTAATGTTCTTCACATCATAAAACACCTTTAGAATAGAAAGGCTTCTAGAACAAATAATTCATTTTTATGATGTTGTTGAAAGCCTTTCTGTAGTTACAGGGTGATTCTTGTTCATTAAGGACGGAAAGGAAGTAGTCAGAAACTTTCATTTTCCAACAGTTCACTCAGTAGTTAGATGAAGACCACAGTGAATTTCACCTCCCTCTCACCTTTTCCCTCTTCCTGCTTTCCCTTAGCTCCAGAGAAATTTAGTTGCAGTTTAGTTTGATACCACATCTGCATAATTTCTAGTACAGAGAACTTGTACTGGGACAATTTCCCTCTTGAGCAAAGTAGGTGGTTTGGCTGTAGCAAACTTGAATCCCTGGGGAGGTCCTGGAGTCTTGCTGGGGAACAAAAAATAAGAATGATTGTAATTATTTCAGACTTTGAAAAAGACTTTTGAAATTAATTTTTTTGTATAAGTACAGAAATAAACTCTAAAAAGTTAATTCAAATAAGGGAGGTGGAGTGTCCTGGTGGCATGGGGAAGTAACTATGATAGGTGTATGCATTTCTCTTCTTGGCTTTCATTCAGTACGTTCATAATCCATTTCCACTTGGGCCTCCATTTCCTTATATACAATAAAGGTTAATGGTACTTCATGTATTAAACCTTTTCTGGCTTTCTTTTAAATTTGGTTCGTATCTGTTCATTTTGACATAAAAGTGACTCCCAGATGAAAATGTTAGGAGATATGGTACTTCAGCTCAGGAAGAAAGAACTAGAGATCTAGACATTTAGAATTTAAGAGGCAGTATACAATACTTAAGATCCTGAACTTTGGAGCCACACTTCTTGAATTCACACCCTAGCTCTCCAGTTTGGCAAGTTATTTGACCTCTCTATACCTTAGTTTTTAATTTGTGAAATGGAACTAAATAGGGATAAGAGTATTTACTTTGCAGGGTTTGCATAGGATTAAATGAGTAATGAACATAAAGTGCTTAGAACAGGGCCTGGCCCATGCTTAACACTGTTTGCTATTTCTAGTATATTACTGTTTTTCATTTCCAGTTGTTTTATGTGCATATTCCACATCTGCCCTAAGCAATCAGAAAGCTTCCACAGAGCTACGACTGTTTTCCACTTTTCTCTATTACAGTTTGTACCTAAGAAATGCACAAAATATCTGTGATAAGCCTTCCTCTACAGGAAGTCGTTTGCCTTGGTTCACCCGCTAAGTAATATGCTGTCTTTTTCTTTAAAAATGGTGACCATGAAACCACTCTATTAATATAACATAGTTGACAGATTAAGTGTGCCAGTATATCACGCAGTCAAGCTCCCCTTATTAATAGGGTCATGAAAGTATTGCTCTCTGAGAGGATGCATTTCACATCATCGCACCAGTCAGATTCTCTTTTTTGTCAGCAGTCTGTTGGTACCTGTGCCTGTCTGTTCGGTGGCCTGAGAAAGGCCGTTCATCAACATTCACCTGGAGTGGGCTGTAAACTTGATTTTTCAAATCCTCCGCTGATCGCTGCCTTACAGCCCAGGCTCCGCCCCTAGCCCTGGAAGCGGGTGGGAAGTGGGAGCGTGGGCTGAATGTCGGCCGACTGCTGGGCGGGGCTCGGGTGGCGTGCCCCGGGGCGCCGGCGTCGTAACGTGTGACGATACCGCTTGACGCAGCCGCAGTGCCGCCCTGCCGCAGCTTCAGCCCCTCCCATCCTCCTCCGCCCCCTCTGGGTCAGAGGCTGGGGACACGGGCCGGGGCTCGGCCGGCGGCGCTAGGGTGTGGGCGCGGGGTCGTGCCCGTATCGGCGCTCCTGCTGCCGCCGCCGCTGCGGCTGATCAAGGCCCTTGGCGTCCACGAGAGAGAAGCTGGAGCGATTCCGGGCCGCCCGGCGCTCGCCAGGTGAGGGAACGGATCGGGCTGGGCGAGGTCGAGGGGGGCAGTACTTCCCACAGCATCTCTACACCTCAGCCCGGTCGGAACCCGAGAGGCTTGGCTTCATCGCGGCCGCTTGCTGCGGCATCTACTCATCTGTCTTTTGCTACCCTTACCTGCAGCATGGGGACCAGTAACCCGACTGTGGGAGGTCAGTGGAAGGCCTCGGAGGGCCATGGCAGTCAGTTAGTAGGGTCGCGGATGCAGGAGGGGCCCCGTGGATGGTGATAAGGCCTGGGCGGCGTCCACTCGCTGGTGTGTGTGTGTGTGGACTGGCGGGAAGGACCTTGCACCTGATTTCCCAGGCTCAGCTTTGCTAGCAGCACCCGGCCGCGGGAGCCCCTGCTTAACATAGATGAGGTCGATTGACCAAAGGCGGTGGAGCCTTAGAACCCACCTTTCCAGCCCATATGCCCTGTGTTTGTATTCTGAATTGCTGCTTGCCGAGTCTACACTCTGGAAGTGTACATTTCAGCGGAAACGCTGTCTGTTGGTCAAAGGAAGGCGAAGCAAGTTGATTTTCCTTTTGCGGAGTCTTAGTTGTCTCTCGCCCTATTCCCCCACTCTCCACCCTCCATCCCCGTTGGCATTAGTTTTGGTAATAGAAAGTTAGAGAAGCTTTTAAACGTAAAGAGTTCTTGTAAATTTCCTTTGTAAGATGTAATGTTTTTGTAACTGTTCAAGCGTGTAAGTTTCACCTAGCTTCTTGTTGCTCCTTTCACTCAGTGCATGGCATTGAAGCTCGTTTATTCTGTTAACTAGACACATTAAATACAAAAATAGATGAGTTAACCGGAATATGTTATATAATTATTGAGTGGTACATACTTCCTGTGGGTATATTATCTAACAGTCCTATCATAGAAGGTCTATTATTATTCCCATTTTATAGATGAAACAACTAAAGCCCTGAAAAACAACTTGCCTAACTTGTCAGAGCTGTGATTTATACCAGGTAATCTGACTCCAGTATACAGTCCCTTAGTGAGTATGTTTTACCTTCTTCCAAGCATTTTGAGTTTGCAAGGTGATTTTCATTTGATAAAAAGTGTGCCAGGGAATTGGAAGAAACTGAAGCACCATTCTTGCCAGCAAGGACCTAACTGAAAGAACAACTTTTTCAAGGCCACACTTTGAATATGTTTTAAAGGTAGGATTTAACCTGTAGAACCCTCTGACTACCAAAATCATGCTCTTTGCATAAATACAGTGGTTGAAACCTTTGGAAGGCCATAGTTTGAAAATTGTGGTGTTTTTCTAGATTTAAGAGTATTTTCTTGTTTGGAAATGTGAAAGAAGGAAATGTACTATTGGACTAACATTAAAGACTGTGTGTGTGTGTGTGTGTGTGTGTACATCAGATCATTGAATCCGGTGAAATGGCTGATAAAGCCAGGCTATCTTGTATAATTGGCAAAAATGCTGTTCTTTTCAGGTTTGTTAAGATGAAACACTGCAGATGGACCTTCTTCTGAAGATAAGGGGAAGGAAAAACAGAACATTGCAGACTCTGGAAAAAAACTTGGGTAAATATTTTGGCTCACTTTTAAAGTCTAATTTCCAGTTAAACTCAGAAGAGATCTCTGCTTCAACTGAGTTTTAATTTGCTTAAATGGTGAAGGGATGGGGGTAGCATGCTGGCGGTGTATAATATGGCCTGACAATCATTTTACCTGACTTTTGAGTTATTGATATCTGACTGACAGTTGAGTCATATGCTTAGTTTGTGCATTGGCTAAAGAAAGCCAGGGGAAACTTTGGCTTGATTCTCTATTAAGTGTCATTCTTTTCTGTCTTCTGCTTGCTGAGTAATCGACTATGCTATAAAGAGTTTTAAAAAGAAATGAAGAAAATTAGTTGACTTTTCGTTTGTTCTTAATGGAATACTGTGTATGGTTGAACTCAAATACATTTTTGACTATTCTATGGAGAGTAATAGAAGAAATGGTTAAATATGATTAAGAAACATTTGATTCATTTCCTAAATATTTATTGGGTATTGTGTATGTCTGGCATTATTTCAGGCTTCTACTAGTAGTGTGGTGGTCGTCATGGCTCTGGAGAGTACTAGGGTAGTGAGTTGTTTTGTAGGAGGTAGTATTTTTGTGAACCCATACCTTTTCTTAATTTTAATATGCAAGGATGTTTTTTGGTTTATATAAAATACTGGGAAAACAGCACTACCCATGTGGTAAATGTTTGTATTTATGATAACTCTCCGTTATTTTAGTTAATAAAGGAGGATACTCTATAAGAGGTGCAGTGGAAAAATAGGATTCTTATAGACTTTATTATAGCATACTGTTTTATGTGTTAAAGATCATGGTATAATTTCAAAATTCCATGCGAGTCTAAGAAATTAACTATTTTGAGAAAATTTTGGGGTATTTATATATGACAAATAGAAGTGACATGCCATGATGAAACAGTCTACATGATGAATTGGAGAGAGATTAGCTTGGAAGCATGGTAATCAGTTAGCAGCTATTATAATCCAGGTGGCAAATGAGAATCAGAAATAAAGCAGTGAAAATGGGAGTTAAGGGATGGAAATGGATTGCTTAGATAGATGCAAAAGAGAGAATGGATAAGATGTAGTGAGTCTGAGGGAAAATGGAGTCAGGGTAATTTCTAACCACTGTCATGTTCAAGCACATAATGTTTAATAAATATTTGCAAGATAAATGAATTATCTGATATCTGGCTTGGGAAAATGAGTGGGTTTTGGGACCACTTACTGAGAGATTATAGAAAGAACAATAGATTGGGGAACATGGTCTGAAGAGGTAGGTTCAGTTCTGAGCTGTTGTATTTGAGGCACTTGTGACTTCCAAGAAATGTTGTTAGGCAGTTGTATATATGGATCTGAGTTAAGAAGAAGACCCAGTTTGAATTAAATTTTGGAGTCTTAGTTTATAACCGATGAGAATGAATGACATTACTCAGGAAATATAGAGTAAAAAGAGGTGAGGAAAGGGAATGCTAGTATTTAAGGGTCTGGTGGAAGAAAAACACACCTCAAAGGAGATGAAGGAGTGAGCAGAGGAGGAGAAAATCAGGAGAGTTAGACAGAAGTCAGTGGAAGAGTTGAGTTTGGAGAAAAGGAACAAGTAATAAGCCTCTTCGAGACATCAAATAAAATGAAGACAATGAAAATATTCATTGGACTAGTCAGTTAAGATGTTGTTGACATGAGCAAGAGCAATTATATAGGTGGAGCCAGTTCATACTGGGTAAGAGATAAGGAAGTTGAAATAATATCATTTACTCTTTCAGAAAGTTTGGTTTTAAATGGAATAGAGAGGGGATAGCTGGAAATCTGAATCTGAGAGGTTTTTTGTCTTTTAAAGATGTGAGTGATCTGAATACATTTACAGTCTTTATTTGCTTAAGGATAAAAAAAAACATCAGAAAGAACATTTGAGCATAGAGGGCTAAGGGAGAATCATTGGTGCAGCCAGAGTAACTGATAAGGCTGGAAGAGATGGAATTCAAGGATGCAGATCAAGGGTACTTTAGATAGACTTTCACCAAGACAGGAGGTTAAGGAAGTGCTTGTGATTATGGATACAGATAATTTGTAAGAGGTATGGTAGAAGTTGCTCCCCTGCAAGTCCATGCAGGAGACTTCTACCCATGTAGAAGGAGGAAATATTTTTGTGAACTTCTGTGATGGGTAGCCTTCTTGGTGTGGTGCTGCTGACTTCTGATCTTTTGGTAAGAAGGAGGAGAATAGAGTGAGGGTAATTTAGCTTAAGATGACAGATGTAAACCATCAGGGTGAGAGATATCCTGCAGATATCTTGCAAAATTACCTTTCTTATAGTTTGTATTAGTTATCTATTGTTGAGTAACAAATTATCTCTGAATTTAATGGCTTAAAACATTTATCATCTCAGAGTTTCTGTGGGTGGGGAATCTGGAAGTGACTGAACTGGTTGCTTCTGACTTCTGGTCTCTCATCAGGTTGTGGCAAAGATCTTCACTGGGCCTTCCATGATCTGGGTATACTCAAACAGGACTGGAGGATTTGCTTTCTTGATGGCTAATTCACTGGCTATGGGCTGGAGGCCTCAAATCCTTACCACATGGACCTCTCTGTAGGGCTTCTTAAGTGTTCTAATAAGGAAGCTGGCTTCCCCTGGAAGAGATGACCTGAGAGAGATGAAGGAGGAAGCTGTGATGCCATTCTTTTTTGTGTCTATGATGCCATTTTTTACTTAAACACACCACTGCTTCTGCCATACTCTTTTAGAACTGTATCACTAAGTCCAGCCCACACTTGGGAGAGGATTAAGCTCCATTTCATAAAGGGAGGAATATCAAGAATTTTTGGACAAATATTAAACTACCAGCATGCCTTCTATCAATTGTCAATTTCTTTAGGAGGAAATAAGCTCTTATACAGTCCTTTTGGCCAGGTGAGACAGAGGTACAGAAAAATGGTGAGGTGGTTCAGTTAGTTTGGGGGTATTTTATAATTTGGCCTTCTTTGCTGATACTCAGGCTCCATAACTTTATGTGTTAACAACTTGTGATTATTAGAAAAAAGTGATTGCTGACCTTTGATTTAATGGAGGGTACTTTTGGGTGGCGGGAGAAGGCATAGTGGGAAACATGAATTTTTTATACCAAAGTATGAATTTTTTAACATTCATATTAGCTCCTAGAATTTAGAGCTTGGCA